ACTTTCAACGTTTTTGTTGATTGTGAAAGGTTTTGTATGTGCAGTTTGTACTTTACCTGAAAGAAAGACCTCTACAAACACGTAACTAACGCTTGATGTTTGTTTTCATAGACGGTGCTGAACTAAGGATTCTGGACTCAGTTCATGTTCTTCACTCGTAGGAGCGATACCTTTAAGTTTTGGTTTCCAGCCTGCTTCCTCTCAAACTGTAGACTACAGGTAAGTGTCTAAACCCTCGAGCTGAGTCATACAGAGTCATCACTGTCTATGATATCTGTTACTGTTGAGCAACAGGGTCTACATCAGTCCATCTGACCCTCATCAACAAGCAGTCAGAGAGAAACATTTTCATGTATTCTTCAGGCCATAAAGGTCATAAAGCTGCCTGCAGATCACCCAGACTTCAACCTCTGAATTAAAGCAGCTAGGTCAGCAGAAGAACTTCATCCATACAATCCTATGATTCAGTGGTGATCTTATTTTTCTTACTGATTCTCCATTTAAACCCTAAAAGCAGGATTAAATCAATCCTGAAATGTGTTTATCTGTATACAAAACTTAAAATGCAGACATTTATGGAAATTGCTTTTCCATCATTTTCACAACAAATAACAGAGTAAGCATATGTTGTAGTTGAATATATTGAAATGTGAGCTGAGATCAGATTCTGGTTCCTGTTTTGTAATATGTTGTGTTTTGTCTCTGTTGAGCAGCAGGTGGCAGTGTAGAGTCACTGAGGCTCACTTCAACATATCAATAGTTGAACAGGGTGATATCTTCTTTTCACTCATTAGACCTCTTGTAATCTTATCATATGTGATAGAAAATAGTTTTATTCTAACAGGGAATTATTTTCAGTCACTTCAGAAGTCATTAATATCAGAGGCTTGGTAGAATAAGAGATGTCTCTGATTGGTTCATTGTCACTCTGTAAAAATAAAGATTTGTTTTTATTGTCACTTTAAACTGAAGGTTTGTTTAAATGTTGTGAGAACTTTATCATTTGTGTTGATGTCATCTCAACACATGTGAAGTAATGATGAATATATAGTTGAGATAATGTTCAATAATATGACTATAAAGCGATGGTTAATGCTGCTGCTTCTCTAACAGAAGGCCCCTGGTTGGCGTCCCATTTCCACCATGAATCAAATAAGAAAAAGTTGTTTTGTTTTGAATGAACACAAATAAGTCAATTAATCCTCTTAAATGACCCTGACTCAAATGTTAATAATGATCACATTGATTTCATACTTCAGAGTACATTTTTAATCAATTTAAGTTCAAAAAACAAAATTCATTCTGCAAAAAGAAATCATTCTATACATTTAATTTGAGATGTTTCTAAATAAAATGAACAAAGTGGTGAAAACATAATATCTACATGAAAAAAAAAGGCCTGGTGCTTTCTCTCTTAAGACCCTTTAATTAGAACAAAAACAATCAGTACTCATTGTAAACACATTTAAAGTGAAGAAAAGTTGAAATGTTCATGCAGAGAAAACATCAGTTCAGCTGAACAAAAATCCTCATGAGCAGTAAAGCCTCTGTGACTAAACAGAAACAGCTAAAGAGAGTTATTTAAAGAGACTCAAACATTTACAGAACAAGTGAGAAGATGTCAAAGTACCGCCCATAAAGTTTGATTGACAGGTGAACAATGTAACCACAATCAGCTCTCAGCAACAAACATGAATAATGATCAAGTTGAAGGATTAAAGTTTAACCCACTGTTCCTTTAAATGACTTCTGTCTATTTCAGTTTACACAACTCAGCAGACCCAGAATAAATATAAAGTCCAGCATGTAGAGGCTGAGTGAATGTGGTCTGGACTCTGTGGAGGAGAGTCATGGTTTCAGAGATGCTGTAGAAGGACAGAATACCTGCTCTGTGATCCAGGTACACTCCTACTCTGGAGGACTGAGGACCTGAGACAGGAGTGCTGACAGTGTTGTACCAAAAGTAATAACTGTTGTTGTTACAATTTAACATCCAAGATTTGTCATTGAATCCAAATCTACATTCATTCCCGCTTCCTGTTCTGCTGATATTCTTGTATGCGACTGCTACATAAACTCCTCCTCCTCTCTCCACTTCCCAGTAACAACGTCCAGTCAGACTCTCTGGACTCAGAACCTGACACCATTTAGTGAATCTGTCTGGGTGACTAGAATAAGACTGTTGTTGACCCGTGCGTGTTACTTTTCTGTTTCCATCAGATAATAACAGATCTGTGCGTGCTGTGTTTGGATCCAGTGTGATGTCACATGAATATTGTAAGAAGTCAGCTCTGGTCTGTGGCTCTGACAGTAAAACATCCACTTCAGTCACTCTCTGTGAGATGTTTGTCCATTTCTCTCTCAGGACGTCCTCTAGTTTATCTCTGACTTCTGACACAGCTGCTGTCACATCCTCAAAGTACCTCAGAGGACGGATATTGATGCTGGATGAGTGAGTAGATTCACAGAGTGGTGACAGTGAGGGGTAGTCGTGTAGAAACTGGTTGTGGTCCTGTGTGTGTGAGAGCTTCTCCAGTTCAGCGTCTCTCCTCTTCAGCTCAGTGATCTCCTGCTCCAGCTTCTCCTGAAGCTCTCTGACTCGACTCACTTCAGTTTGCTGCTGGAATCTGACCTGCTGCTTCACATCAGAGCGTCTTTTCTCCATGAGACGGATCATCTCTGTGAAGATCTTCTCACTGCCCTCCACTGCTTTATCAGCGGAGCCATTGATATCCTCCACCTCCTGTTGAAGCAGCTTCACATCTTTCTCTCTGTCCTGGATTCTCTGCTGGATGTTTTGTCGACTCACCTCCAGCTCTCTCTGCTTCTCGGTCCTCTCTGCTGCAGCTGAGACTGTGTCGTGGCCTTTATGTTCATCCACAGAGCAGAGATAACAGATAGACTGCTGATCAGTACGACAGAACATCTTCATCACCTCATCATGACGGGAGCAGACGTTCTCCTGGAGCTTCTTGGAGGGCTCCACCAGCTTGTGTTTTTCAAAGGCAGGTGAATCATAATGAAGCTGAAGGTGTTTTTTGCAATAAGAAATCAGACATTGTAGGCAGGACTTACAGGCTTTCAGTTTTCTCTCAGTGCAGACATCACAGGCCACATCTTCAGGTCCAGCATAGCAGTGATCAGCAGGAGCAGCTCGGAGTCCAGTCTTCTTCAGCTCCTCCACTAAAACTGCTAACATGGTGCTTTTCACCAGGACAGGCCTCACTGGGAAGGTCTGCCTACACTGAGGGCAGCTGTAGATTTTCTTCTCCTCCTCTTTATCCCAGTGGGTTTTAATACAGTTCATACAGTAGCTGTGTCCACAGGGAACAGTCACCGGATCCTTCAGTAGATCCAGACAGATCGAACAAGAGAAGGTTTCCCGGTCCAGCTGAACTCCTTTCTGCGCCATTTCTCCTCTCAGTGACAACAACTGTCTGAGTTTCACTTCCTACCACATTCACCACTGATTTACAAATCATGTGTGTTTGTGCTGGGAATTTTAGCTCATGTTGGTTACACCCATCTGCAAACTGTCGATCTAAAGGAGAGGGAACCAGGAAATTCTGGGTCAGAGTGGAGCTGGCTGTGTTTGAGAGCAGGCAGGAGAGGGAGGGGTTATCAAGCTCTGGTTTATTCCAGGAAGAGGAGCAGCACTGTACATTTTCAGCTTTGTTTCCTCATTCCTCGTACATTTAATGGTCTTGTTTGCCTTCTTCTTATTGCAGGACATCAATGAAAAAAGTAGCTTGACATGCGTTCTTGTTAAACTGTCAGTAGCAGTAGTCATACAGTCCATTTTTTATGATGAGAGGAAATGTTTTTAGACATCACTTTTACATCTGTGCTGAACACTCTACACTTCAAATATATAGTAGATGGTTTGAAAGAAACCATCTTTACCTTTCAGAGGAAAGATTTGACTGCACCACTCTGATGATTACATCTACACCACTCCTCGCTGTTTTGGACTTTAATCTTACAGATGTAAATTAATGAAGACATTTTCCTCTTTCTCTGCAGAAGAAAACCCTCTCTTTAGAAATGCCTGCTCATCTGGAAACAGGAAAACAAAAGGATCAAGTTGGTCCCACGTGTTCATGAGGGATGATAGTGACTCAGACACAAGTAGTAATCTGTAGTCACTAGTGTTTAAACATGTAGCAACCAAGTATTCAAAGGAAGTTAATAAATCTTATAATAGACTGACTCATATTTGAGTTCAGAATAAACAATACAGGTGACAGCACACACCCTTGTGGAGAAGCAGTAGAAGTGCACTTTAGGTCAGACAGGGTCCCATTTACCCAGACTCTCTGTGTCCTACTGGTAAGAAGAGGAGAATCCAGCCCACCAGATTTTTACTCAAGGCAAACTGTTCAAAACGCCTCCTGGTTAAGATATGAGGCATTCATGCATGGCCTGCTCCGACCTCTACCTCAACGACAGGAAAGTGTGGACAACAGGAACATGAGCAATACAAAGTAGAAATCCTGCCTCCATATTATCCCATCTCCCCCTATCCCATTTTACTTCTGTAACACAACAACGAGTAAGGTCTCTATCTGCTCCTTGGTAAATTGTCTTGGAGATAACATTTGTTATAAACTGGGACAAATTGAGATTGAAGACAAGACTGTCATCACTGTAGCTACTTGTACAAAGGGCAGGTTTATACGTTCTTCTTCCTCCTGCACCGTTTCTTTGTAAAGGCCAAAGAGAGAAGAAAGTATTTCTCTACATTGTAGCCTACTGCTTAAACAGAAGAAAATAAAAACAAATGAAACAGAAACATATAACACCCAAACTCTTTTCTTTAAAACAAACTGTTTTATTGTAATACAGTTGACAGAGAAACACCTGCTGTTCATCCAGTTATAAACAAAGAAAACAAAACAAACTTAACTTACACAGGCATTCTTTAGAAGGTCAGTGGTTTAGTATGCTGCTGTAGCAAAGGGGGCAAGTTTGGGCTGGAGGGGGGATGGGGAGGGAGGTTGGTTGGGGTTGGGTTGGGGAGGGTACAACAGTAACTAGTTCTCTAGATTTGGCCCGTTCAAACACGATCATCAACATAAGCATAGAGACCTCACAATGTCGAATGGAGTTCAAATTTCAAATTGACCTTTTTTTCTTTTTCATGTATCGATCATGAACATCTTGAGTGTCGACAACACATAGCATTCTCGTGCTCCACATATATATGCACTGTATTCACATTTTGCAAAGAGAAAAGGAGAGCGATGTGATCCAACATTTTCATGAAATACTTAAAAACAGGCCCCGCCTTGGATTCAGAAGAGAAACAAAATAAAGTGAAGCTTGTCTTTGATCTTCTTCAGATTTTTTTTTTCTTTTAAAAACACAATACTGTGGCTCGAGCGTGATGCATTCATGCACTCACATAATAAATGGAAACATTTCCCATCTACTTTGACATGGGATGTGGCAGGTTAAAAGACGTTTTCATACAAGATTGTTTTTTGTTGCTGTTGTTGTTGGCTTGTTCTGCAGGATGGGGAGGAAACCCGGGGAGGATAAAGTGACACTTAGACGAGTAAAGTTGCACAAAGACAAAGAAATGGCAAGTTAGATGGAGAAATCTGTCATCTGAGCAGTGCCATCTAAGGAGTTTCCCTTTTTTCCAATCTTTAATTCAGATACATGTACAGTACTGTACAAGGAATAGAATTTCTATGACAATCCAGTTGAAATATCACTGTGTTATCTGCTCCAGCAAAGAGGCCCTGAACCTAAACAAGACCACGTTGTTCTTCAAACAGCCTGTCCATTCTGTGAAACCCCAAACGTGGCGTGAAATAGGGAACTGTATTAATTACTGTACACAACAAAAGACCCAAGCTGCACATTCTCCTCCCCACAGATGCTGCAACATGAGAGACAGAATCAGAATCAGGTGAGATGGATTTGCTCTCTTTGGTGCGTGTGTAGAATCTGTGTGGGCTTGATTTAAGTCCAGTTTGTAACATGCACGTCGTTTCATTTACGCACTGGAAGCATTTCCACAACCGGATCACGGGGGGAGGGGGTGGGGGGCGGGGGGGCTCATGGAGTTGACGCTGATCTGAGAGCAAATAGAAAGAGGGAAGGTGTGTTAGGGCTCTTGGCAGAGGCTTTGGTCGCTGCAGGGTGTGTGGGTGTTGGAGTCGAGGTGGTTTCTGGGGAGTCCGGACAGAGTAGTAGCACTGTTGTTCTTCTTCTTCTTCTTCATCTTGCTGTTCCTGTTGGAGATGGTGGCTCGTTTATGATCGTTTCCTCCTGCCCTCCAGGTTTCTGAAGTTGGATGGCCTGATCTTCATCTCAGCGAACTCGATCGAGTGCTCGTGGCCTTTCCAGTGGAACCAGTTCACACCCTGGAAGAGATAGGGGAGTGATGATGTTCACTTTACAGATGAAGAAACAGGGAAACAAACAAGGCTTGACAGAGCAAAGGAGCTCAGCATAATCGGTGTGATTGATTTAATTACACAAAAAGAGGACTAAGCTGCTAATAAACACAACAGTTACAGCTTAAACATCCCTGTCAATGCACGTAGCAGCCATATTGGATTTGAACTTGGGCTAATGAAGATTCTCAGAGTTTCCGAGTCGGAATCCGTATCAGTTCCTGATGACATATCAGACCGGCAACTTGGAATTTCCGACTTCCGAGATCAAAAGGTACGCAGCAATAGTTCAAGCAGGAAAACTGGTTTTATTCTCTCACGCATTCTTTCAATTTGATTCATTGAACAAAGCCACTCTCTCCGTCTCCCTGCTCTGGTGATCAGCTGATTTGGGGCGTTTACTGTTTAAGTAATAATCAATCAGATTCTGCCACAATCTCTCTCAGCCAATCATCCTGCTGCTATCACATTTAAAACCTGTGCTCAGGTTTTAAAGGTCTTTCACAGTTCAGTTTCTCATTTCAGTTGGATCACTGCGACCCTCCTCCTCCTCCTCCTCTTCCCAGGTCACCTCCATTCCAGCTCAGCAGAGTTCAGATACAGCCTCAGAAACCCACTCCTCATCACATCCTGCATTTTTCTATCACCACCACCACCAGGGTCTAGACTCCATAGGGGGGGGGCATCATATCCTGCTTTCGGCCTCACTACCCCTCTGAGTGCCTGAAGTCGTCATGACGGAGTCTAATTGACAAAATCATTGCACATTTATCTTTTCCTAAACTGTTAAATCAATAATTGTTCACTCTTGATTAAGTCTCCTGATTGAAATATAACTGACCCTTGATGACCCCAACATACAGTAAGCAATCCTTCTTCACTCGAGGACATAACAGTAACTGCACTACGAATGGTGTCACATGTATGAAAGAAAAACATGTTACCTTGCTGTGACTGTTATCTCCATATCGTCCCATGAGGTTGACACGGTGGCAGTTTTTATACCAGAAAGCTCCCTTATAGGACAGGGCACAGTTGGTGACGGCGATGTCGTTGTCGTGGTCATACGTGGAGAACGGACGGCCGTGATGGTAGGTCATGGAGTCGCCTGCAAAGATACACAGCAGAGAGACGGTTGGTCTGTTACTGTCAGTGAGAATATTTCTATTGAGATATAAAAATCTACTCCGGGTCCAGTTTACCATGTGATGCTTCAGTCCTGACAAATATGTATAAACCTACATTACACCATGCAGCAATATACTCTGCATCATATTAAACTTATTCCACACACATGCCAAATGTAGTGTATGTAGTACACAGTTTGCAGGCCTTTTAAAACAGCCCTGACTTTAGATTTAATGTGAATAATGAAATCATTGTTCAATCCTGTGGTTTACCAACTTAAGTTTTTGCACCCCTAAAATAAAGGACAACTGAAAATAGCATACCTGCTGATCCACTGTATCCTCCTACATGGACCTTGTAGCGTGTCCGAGGTTCAGAGATGGAGAACTTGTCATACTGAGCGTAGGCTGTTTCTCCCTTATCTCTGAGGTCTACTCGCAGCTCATACTGACCTCCAGCTGTTATCTTATGCAGGTTGGACAGACCTGAGAGAGGAAAGCAGTTAGAAAACCGGATGGACACTTCTAATAAAAAACATAATTATGGCTTTATAAGTCTTATTATTATTATATAATTTAAAATGTATAAAAAAAGTTATTAAATTCATTGGCAGTATTTAAGTCTGTAGGGACTTGGGTTGGGAATCTGAGGGTCGCAAGTTCAAGTCCCGGTGCAGACCAAGTCTGAAAATTGGTCTAATAGATGATAGATAAGCACTGCCGAGGTACCCTTGAGCAAGGCACCAAACCCCCACCAGCTCAGGAGCGCTCGCTGTGGGCAGCCCCCTCACTCTGACATCTCTAGTGTACAATTGAATTTCCTTAAAAAAGTATAAATAAAAATAGGTTGTGTGTCTCCGATTAACTGCACACGACAAGTGGAAGACGATGGGTCTGAAGGCTTTCTCAAGGTGCTTTATATTTGTGCTCATTTGAAAGACAGCAGCAGTCTGTACCGTCTTCAGAGGTAGTAACGGAGGCGTTACAGAGGGGAGACGGATGCAGAGCTGGCTAAACACTGAAGCTTCAGTGTCCACCACATGGCAACCTGTGTGAGCATCGACTCTAGAGAGGAGGGGGCGGGGGGAGACAGCTCTCTCTAATGTTTTGAACTTGGACTGCAGTACTCATTTTAAACACTAGGTGTCAGAGTTACATATTGCTCCTTTAATGACAGTTGAATTTATTGATATAAGTCACCATCACTTAATGTGTGGCCAAACACTGTGTTGTGTGCTCTGATGTTTGCTCATATATTACCCAGCCAGAATTCATCATTCATGTCACCAAAGCCAGCGGTGTAATTCTTCCAGTTGCGGAAAAACTCCAGTCTACCACTCTGGCGTCTGAGGAAAATCTGAAAGTCAGAGACAAAAAGAAAATTATTGTTTTTCCTTTCCTTAATTATGAGACATTCACTCTGCAAATGTGCAATATTTAACTGTAAGCATTTGATTATTATTTATTTTTAAAGCTAAAGAATATTGGAAACATTCATAGTTTGTCAGGAAAATATTAAAAGTAGTAGAAATTATAAATATGAAATAGTTCTTTATGATATTAAAGCTGCATTTTGTCCACTTTAAAATGTGCAAATCACTGTAAATACAACATTAAAGGTATTTTTCAGGCCTCTTTTGCCTTTATTAGATATGAAAGCTGAAGAGAGACAGGAAGCGTTTGGGAGGAGAGAGAGTGGGGGATGACATGCAGCTGAACCCGAAGCTTTGAAATATGAAGCTACGAGTTAACTAAAGTGTGCTAACATTAGCCTGCTAACACAACAATGCAGGCCACAGGCAATTGCAGCTCTAGCAAAGGACAATTATATCCAATGCTTGCGCTTAAGGGTGCTTAATTAAGATGTGTTCTAATTGATAACTTCTTTGTGTGAACTTGAGTGGAGAGGAGTTTGAGGTGTGACGCTGGAGGAGAGCAGAGGCTTCAGAATGGCGGAGGTGTTCGTTTTGGTTTCATGCTGGTGCTCAAGGGCGACATCTACTGGATCGAAAAGTTGCACATTCTTCCTTCAAAGGACCATATTTGTGTTTACTTCATTAAAGGTGTACTGTGGTCATCAGCAAATCACTGATGTTGTTTTTCATTTTATATTATATATATATATTATAAAATGTAAATATTTAAAAAACAGAAGAATGAGAGGGAAGGTGCTAAAATGTCCCACGTAGCTGAGGGATCCTACAGAGTGCGGGGATAACGTTCTGTGGGTTTGTAACTTTGATGGACCTCTTTTAAATTGTTACTAGAAACATTGTTATTGTAAAAATCCTGATGAGTGTGCCTGCTGGCTGCTGACTTACGATCCATCCACCTCCATCAGTGGTCATATCGCAGTACACTTGGATTGGCTGGCTCTCATCTCCACCCAGATAGATGGTGTACAAGTCTGATGTGGTGTCGCCGTTCAGCAGGGCCTGGGAGCAGTCCTTAGGGAATCTGTAGAGCACACCAGCTACTCACACACACACACACCGAGACACAATGATCAAAACAGATGATAAGACAGACCCGGCAAACTAACAAACAACAATATAACAAAACAGCATGACTGCAAAGTAATTTCTTTTATGCTAATAAATATACCCAATCTAAGTTTAAACTTACGGTTTGTGAGCAGAGTGCACTCTACACAGGCAGCAGAGGGAGAGGCTGTTTACTTTTTTTATTTATGGTTTAATGTGATGCATTCCTAACATCTATCTTATGTGCTGCCCTGACAAGACGAACAGCTAATACGTTACCAAACTAAAAATCTTTCCAATTCCAATAAATTCATAGTGGATGTTAAGGTTGACACAAACATGTCCTGCACTGATTGTCACTTAAATGTCAGGATATAGCTTGAAACTTTCTTTTAACAAAAGCCATTCTTAATTATATTTCAGGGCTGGTCATTTCCTGATAAGAGATGAAGAAAAGTAGTTGAATCATCCTGCGATATTATAATTGATACAGTTTTTCTTCCATAGAAACTCTTTCTTTGATGTCCCTCCCACATTATGCTGAGGATCTACAGTGTAGCTTGCAGTTTGGGGTCGTTACTCTTATTTTTGCTGGACTGTTCTCTCATTCAGAACTTTTGGCAACAGTAATTGCTAAAAAATGAACATGAAATGTCCCTAGCTAGAATTCTCTCTTTATAGAAAATGCAGAAATATTCAGTATCAAATAACTCTGTGCTTGCTGTTCATTGGAACATATAAGGTCACATATTATGCAAAGTACACGTCACCATGTTTCTCAAACACTAATCTGTGTCTCTAGTCTGTCTACAAACCCCCCAATGATGAGAAAAGTCCATCTTCTGTCTTTTGCCTGCTCCCCTTCTAGAAAATTTTCACTCAAACATGTCGTTTGGAGATTTTCCCTTCATGACATCACAAAGGGCAGTAACCCCTCCACCAGGTGGGTGACACTCCCACAGCTAGGTATTTGTTCTGCCCTCTGAGTCTGCCTTCTCACTGGCAACAATAGGGCATACAGCGAGAAAGCCTGAGCCACCCGAGCCCTTCCAGCAAGGGGTGGTCAGACACAGCTCATTTGCATATTCAAAGGTACAGACACAGAAACAGCCTGTTCTGAGCAGGGCTGAAATAGAGGGGTTTATAGACATGATCAAATACAGGATCAGAGTGGATTTAGAACAAGAAACTTCACAGACATGTTTTTGGGAGCTCTGAGACTTAAACATGATGAAAAAGGAGAAGAATATGTGACCTTTAAGCAAGGTCGCCCATAAGGGGGAAAGGGGGAAAGCATACATTGATTTAAATCATATCCTGAGAGGGACCATTCACTGAGCCTTTCAGGGGCACAGCCATTTCTGCGAGCGGGCTTCTTTTAAAGCTTTATTCATGGTGTTTTTTTAAGGTATTTTGCACTAGACACACACCCTACCAGGGTTGGAACATGTGAAGTGTTAGTGTGAATCCACTCACTGGTGGTGAAGACAGTCGTGATGACTCTGCTTCTCTTTGGACCTGCGATGGCCTGCAGCTTGACTGAGTACTCTGTGGATGCGCTGAGCTGCGCCATGTTATAGGAGACAGCATTGGGACTCAGGACCACCTCCTGAAGTAAAAAGATGTGCAAACATTTAATTACCAAACACATTTTTATAGATTGTTTAAGGACCAGTTAGACCATCATCTGTGTACTTGTGGACTCACCCGGACCATGCCGTCTGCAGACTCGAAGCTGAGGATGTATCCTGTGATGTCAGCGCGGGAGGCTTCCAGGTCAGCAAGCCGTTCTCAGTCTGGATGTTACTGGCTGCCAGGTCCTGAGGGGCGTCCACATCTGAAAACACAGCCGCAGTTTAGACACTTTCATATTTCACAAAATCTGTTTCTTTATCATCCTCTTTTATCCCCTTCTTTTTAACGTTATTTATTCTTACTTCGCATCACTCAATCTGTCTTTTTGAAAAATTATAGGTGCGCATTTCCCCTAACGCTGCTAAGGAATTGGGAAAGTTCACTGAAAATGCATCACTATGTAGGCCTAGTTGTCTCAGCCTATAATTTGTTGACCTATCAGGGGCAGCTGTGGCTCAGTTGGTAGAGTCATCGCCTCACAACCAGAAGGTCTAGAGGTAATCCCCAGCTGAGCAACATGTCTGAT